ATATTTATTTATTTTATTAGAACGTCTTCCTCAATTTCCAAGTCGTCAATTTTACCAAAAATATTCTTAAAAATAATATTTAATTTTGTAATAAACGCCAAATCGAGAATATAAACTTAAATACATTTATTCCTCAGGCAGCAGAATTATTTGTCAAATAAAGCCTATCCGACGATTAAAAATACAATCGTTTGCTATCTGTCGAATGATATGCTACTTGTCTATTTATCTAAGGATTGAAAAGTCGCCCCTAAAGCGTACAAGTATATACTACGAATGCATTATTGAACTACGTTGCAATAACAATAATCAGGCCTTATTTTTAAGATAATAAAACCTATTTAAAAACAAGTTTTTAGAGACTGTCAGGACCTACATTTGGTTCATCGAAGTTACAGACATAAAAATGTCAAATATCAGTTCAATCACATGTCAGCAACTGCTTTAAAAATTAATGACGACATGTGAACCGGAAAGACATACTTACGAAAAAAGCACATTATAAAAGGCTTGTAATTATAAATTGACTCAGGTGTTATATTGCGAAAATTTATTATACAATTTAAGATTTGAAAGTGTGACTTTGTCAGGACCTACATCTGGTTCATCGAAGTTACAGACATAAAAATGTCAAATATCAGTTCAATCACATGTCAGCAACTGCTTTAAAAATTAATGACAACATACGAACCGGAAAGACATACTTACGAAAAAAGCACGTTATAAAAAGGCTTGTAATTATAAATTGACTCAGGTGTTATATTGCGAAAATTTATTATACAATTTAAGATTTGAAAGTGTGACTTTGTCAGGACCTACATCTGGTTCATCGAAGTTACAGACATAAAAATGTCAAATATCAGTTCAATCACATGTCAGCAACTGCTTTAAAAATTAATGACAACATATGAACCGGAAAGACATACTTACGAAAAAAGCACGTTATAAAAGGCTTGTAATTATAAATTGACTCAGGTGTTATATTGCGAAAATTTATTATATTTAAGATTTGAAAGTGAACTAAAATGTGCCTGAAAAATAAAATGTTGTGTATTTCTGTGGTAGTTTGAAGAGCAGCCCTCCTGAATGCCGCCATTAATAATAAGCTGCGCTTCGCTACTAAACGAGGCAAATGCATTTGTTATCGACGTTGGTGTGTATCCTAGTGTAGTGGTGTTGAGTTTAGTAGTGGCAGTGATAGTGCACGCAATAGTAGAGAGGGAACGTGCTCTTCAAATTGGGTTATTCACATATTATATTTTATTTTTCACGTAGATTTTTGCTGGGTAATTTTCACAACTTTTTATGATTTATTTTATATCGTTTTGAAATCTTTATGATTAATTTTACATATTTAATGATAAACAACATTTCATCTGATGCCAAGGTCTATTGCAGCACACAGGCAGCTGCAAACAATTCCAAAAAAATTTAGATGCGTTAAGAACTACGAAATGCAACAACAGGCTATAAGCCTGTAGTTATACTGGCTCTGTTACCCTTCCAACAGGAACATGGCGGTGGTTGAGCAGCTTCTTGGCGACAGGCATAGTCCATCTAGATTCCTTCCGTTGTAACCCAAGGTTTTATACTACGTGGTAGAGCCACGCTGCAGCTATATTACGGTTTTAGCACGAAAGGGTCGGCTCGATCGGGGAAGGACCACGCTCTCACAAAATACCAGCGTAAAATAGCAGCTTGATGCTGCTGTGTTTCGTATGGTGTGTAGAGAAACGGAGACACGTTTTACTGGAATTGAGACATTCCATCTTAGTCCTCAGGGGTGATGATAACTGATAACGCATCTGCATTATGATTCTTAAACAAGGATAAATGTAGTTGTCTATGGGCCACAAGATCCACTTACCATCAGAGGGACTGTGTGCTCGTTTGTTACCCTAATTCTATAAAAAAGTTGTTTATTTAAATAGAGGCAGAGTAAACAAATAATTTATTTTAAAAGTTAAAAAAAATGTAGTTACTTGTCTGTCACTACAACTCCTTCAACACATTGCTTTTCCTAATTTTTTAAATTTTTTTTACACAGTTAAATCTAAATAAAAATCGAATCGAACATTCTATTCTTCAAAATGAACTCGCAAGTTTGCTGTTTTCTTACATAATTGAACAATCCGATATTGGTTATAATAACTAAAATATAGGATGTCTAACAGTAAAGAATAAAGAAATAAATACATTCATTTATTATTATATTTATCTACTTCTAAAACCGTCAATAAAAAAGTATTAAAGTAGTTATAACTTACTGAAGAACAAATTGCCACCGAGAATAATAAATGGCAAGAGATATGAATCAGATTAGTCTCGCGATGGACGTAGGACAGGCGCATATAATCGCTGCAGTTCGCAAGTGCAGGGAGCACGGTAAGTAGGGCGACGAACTGCGATCGATGTCGGGCCGGTACGCCCGCGGACCGGGTGCATCCATTTACATCGTTCCCAACTTTCACGATCGCGACATTTACACCGCGCCAACCAGGCCCAGTTTACGTACAGTTCATGTTATCGTTTTTTTTTTATAGAATAAGGGTGACAAACGAGCAAACAGTCCACCTGATGGTAAGTGGTTGCTGTGGCCCATAGACATCTACATCTATCCTCGATTACGAATCAAAATGCAGATGCGTTGTCACCCGTGAGGACTAAGATGGAATGCCTAGTTTCCAGTAAAAAGGGTCTCCGGTTCTCTACACTCACCATACGAAACACAGCAGCATTAAGCTACTATTTGTCGTTGGTATTCTGTGAGAGCGTGATCCTTCCCCGGTCGAGCCGACCCATTCGTGCTACAACTATACTACTAATATAACTGTAGCATGGCTCTACCACTCCAAAAAGTGTGTCTCGTGTACATTATATAGATTAAAAACTCCTGTAACTGCTGAATCTGTGATTATCTTGTAAATAATCGTCAAATACTACCAGTACTGCGTACGCACGATAATAATAGGATTGGTTCCACTTACAAATTAACTCTCTAGTATAAAAAAAACGCAAATCCTTAACAAAAATATTATTATCGAGGCAACATTATTCTCGAGCTTTGCGAGCAGTTGTCGGCGACGCTAATAATATCGCGTAAAATTTCGCGGATGGGAAATGCGGGCAGAAATTTACAACAAAGTAATTATTCACATAGATAGCGTCTGTGGCGAAGGCGAGTTGAAGCCATCGGCACGCGGCGGCCCCACGTTATAAGTCGAAGTAGCCGAAAGCTCCCAATTAGCCTCGTTTTTGACGCTGTGTCGGCGGTAATTGCGAAAAGAAATATTAATGAAGATCTATCGAGGCCCTTCGAGAGATTTCAGTTCTTCCCCTGGTTTGATTACGTTGAAAGTTATTACACCTCGATTAAGTACAAATGTATAATCACCTAACCGTATAGTGGCGGTGTAAGCATACCCATAGTGGGTATCCATATCGTCCCAAGGGCGTCGTAAGAGGCGACAGAGGGAAAATGAAGGAGATGGGCAGCAGAGTTTTCTTGATAACAACGCAATATAATAAACAACTGTGGTTACTGTCCCGCTTGCCAAGCGTGGCAACTATGGCAAACTCCCCCCATATGGCTATCAATGAGGGAAGCCTGTGTTCAGCAGTGGACTTTTATAGGCTGTAATGGAATAATAGTATAATCACCGTGAACGCTGTAAAAATATTACGTACACATAACAGATCCGTCCATATGTTATAACTCATAACAGCCAAATTCTGTACATATTGATTAGCATATTATTAATTTCGACAAATAGTTGACGAAATCTTTTTCATTTGCGACACTGCAGCTATAGCACACAGCACAGAATACCACCGTAAATAGCAGTTTAATTCTGTCGTGTTTCCTATGGTGAGTGTAGGGAACCGGAGACCCTTTTACTATAAATGAGGCATTCCATCTCAGTTGCCGGGGATGACAAAACATCAGCATTTTATTTCTTAAATTAGAATAGACGAAGACATCTATAGGCTACAGCGTCCACTTACTATTAGGTGGACTGTGTGCTCGTTTGCACTTTTATTACATAAAAAAGCATATACTCATGAACATATAACTAACAGAGGTAAGCAACTCTACTTATGTTTAAATATAACTTTTCTTTTGAATGTTTGTGAAAAATTTGATTTCTAAATATAGTTTAACGTTTAAGTGATGTGTAAGAAACGATAAAAATATTACTCGCCGTAAATTTGCACAGATAATTTATACCAATTGAACTAACTTGTAATATATATATATAATATATTAAAACTACTTAACTTCTAATCCCACTCTAGTTTGCGTCGCTTTCCAAGTCTTAGTTATAATATCATTCTCAAAATGCATGTCCATGTGCAAATCTCATGTAAAACTCATTTAATAATAAAAAAATTTACATTTGTTACAAACTTTTTACAAAATTAACTAGTCGTAGAGCAAGTCAGCCGGCCGTCAATTACGGCGACGCACTCGGGGCGGGGACTTATTAAATTTACCCAGGGGGCGAATGCAAACAATGGCGCTTTATCTTAAACGCAGATAACGCCTTGTTCTCCACTTTTGCACAATGGATATCGCCTGGCTACAGACAGTCCGCAAGGCGTCACCCGCAAACTTCGTCTCGCACTAAACTATTCAAGCACTCCACTTTTAAAGTGTAACACTTTAGGGATTAGTGGCCCGTCCGTAAGGCCTATTACGTATTCAGTGGCAAGGGACAGTTACGTGAAGAAATTCATTAAAATAGACCCTTTTTATGGAAACAAGACATTCCATCTTATTCGTTAGGGGTTACAACGCATCTGCATTTTGAGTATTAATCGGGCATAGATGTAGATGTCTATGGGCCAGAGCACCTTTTTACCATTTACCATCAGTTTGACTGGACCTCACCCTAATTCAATAAAAACGTATAAAACACATATTTTAATATTATTATTTCCAAAACTTGTAATCCATCACAAACAAATTTGATTAATGGTTTACAAAATGAGCTACTCACCGACCAGATCGCCGCGATATATGTGCGATGTATCAACATCACGTATTTCACCATCGGAACCTTCGACCTGTAGAAAAAAGTTTAAATTAATGAATATTTATTAAATTTAATTATTTATACATATTGTTTACTCGCAACTGACTAACTACAAAGAAGACAGCATCTTTAAACGCAAGTTCAATATCGCTATAAACATCATATTTATCATAAACTAAGCTGTAAGGGAATCCACCATCGCATATTGTCCCGTGGGCGTCGTAAAAAGCAAGTATGAGACACCCCAAAAAAATCTCATGGCTTTCAGTTAGTCACTCCGTTTACGTCAGACGTTGAATGCCAAGCCGGCGGCGACGACACATTAAAAAAAATAAAATTGAAATTTTTATCAAATAAGTAATAATTTGTTTTAAATACCAGTATCCATGTATTGTTCAGGTACAGCCTGTAAAAATTCACTGTTGAACATAGGCCTCCCCTATACAATGCCTCATTGGGGGTTTTTGCTATAGTTGCCGCAGTTTTTTTAAACTTTGATTTATTATCAGGAAGATGCTGCTGCCCATCTCCTACTCGTATTTCAGTTTCCGTCTGTCTCCTCTTACGACACCCACGGGACCATATGGGACAGTGGGTATTCTTACTCGATACGGTTTAAATAGGTTTTATTGCGCCCTCCTTTCTGCCAAAGAGGGTCGCGTCCGTATACGGCTTAGAGATCTCTAGTTAGACCGTTAAGCCAGTCCCTAAAAGGTAGGGTTTAGTGGGTAAAAGTCTCCACATAACCCAGCAGCCGGCTGCGTGGTATGCTATGAGCATTCCCCACCTCCCTCCCCCGCTTTCCGGAGGGTTGCCCATATTTGCTTCGGGCGCAAAAAAAATAGGTTTTATAAAGCTAGTAAGTAGCATAAAACTAATTTTTGTTAAGTATTTCTAAGGGAGGAGGAATTATACTTTTATTTTGATTTGTGGAAGCTTTTTTCCCCGTGCATTGTTTTGCTCTTTTTGTAGTCAAGCTTTTTAACAAGCAGAAGCGGATGCTTTATTTTTGTTGTAACATTGGGGTGATGTTCAGTCGGTTTCTGAAATCCTTTTCAGCTTTCAGCTACAATACTTACTTTCTCATTAAAATTCCTATTGAAGAAAACTGTTATTAAAGTTTGCTATATACATACAAATAATAATAATAATACAAAATGGCGATTATTTTAGAAAAAGAACATGTCACAGACGAAATCAGTTAATAAAAACATGGTATTTAATAATAACATAGATTTCAAAATAATATTTTCAATTTTAGTAAAGGATTTTCGGTCATTGTCTATTAATATTTCTGTAATAAATTTATAATAATATTTTAACGTATAATACTAATACGTATAAAAATAACCTTTTCCCAAAAATTTGCCAACAGAATTTATTTTTTAGTTTTTTCCATATCGAAAGGGTAAGCGATTCCCGGCGGCACTTTTTAACTAAAAATAATTATCGACACTTTAATTGTAAATCAGTCATCAACTATAGGTCACGAGATATATAACGACATATTATGTATTTGAAACAATGAATTACCTTAAAATCCCTGCTGAAGGCGGATAGATCCCTCCTTAACCGTAGATGGAAGCGACGCCCGTGTGCGTGGAACGCTATCCGCAGTTCTGGCGCGCCGGCAGAGCGACGCGTGCGCGAATGTTGTGCGTGAATCGCTTGCGCGTCGTACTGCAGCGGTTCGTAGTGTTCCACGTAGTCGCTTAGACGGCGCGATGCTGTAACAATTTTACATACAACCTATAAGTTATGTGCTCTTGGTAAATTAATGATAATGTTAGAAAGTAAAAATCAGTTAAAACTTATTAATAAGCAAGGTCGTTGGACTAAAGAAAAGCATACTATTGTAGTCGACTTTTAAATATCCCCTAAAGGTGGAAAGTTAATTTCGCTGTAATCTCTTAGTGTTCGCATTGTACGTAAGTTATTGAGTCACATGAAATACCCAAAAAGAACGCATTTTTTTTAAATTTACAAATATTTCGCACAACATGTTAAATACATTATAATATATTTCTTGCATTACCTATAATTTCTGGTATGTGGCACTTAATTCTTTAATTATCTTTGAGGACGGCTTCACGTTATTAGCTATACGAAGTCTTAGAATTTAAAGCCAAGGAAACTTGTCACAAGACATAATAATATAATAGAGTAAATCATTAATTAATATGGATGGAAATAAATACTTATAAATTGTATATGCTGTTTAAAATTATAACAACAAAAAACAACCCATGTAGATGTAGAGCAACAAAGAAAAAAAACTTAATTTTATTAAAGAGTCCAAAATAATCTTAATACTAATATAAAAGCTTAACCAGGTAAGCCAATGCTGGTATTTTACTAAGACCCAATGTTTTCCAGTTGTCAGTGTCAGTGAGATTAGAAAAAAATCACAATTTTGTCAAACGTAATATGATAATGTCCTTCGCATAATATTTTCTTATAAAAAATTCAAGTCATGGACTTGAGTCAGAGAAAGAAAATATTATAAAATGATTTCTTTGAATTAGACAGAGTCTTACTTATTACTGTCTCAAAATATTTCGTTTTCCGAAAATCATTCCCAAACTTCATACCTATATAGATATATTTATAAGTATTGATGGGCCGAATATGGATTTCACCGAATACGAATACTCGGCCGAAGATTCGGTAAAACTTTTACTGAACCGAATATTCGACCGAACATTACTCGGCAGGATCACCTCGGTACCTAACCAATTAATGTTGAAACTTGTATTAAACTGTAAACCGGGCGGGATTAGCGCCGGACCCTGCCCATCGCTTCCCCCCCCCCCGCCCCCACACCTGACAATTTATTGCATCATCTAGTACTGAGCAAATTGCCGGCACATGCTTATGTTTTGAACATTTTAATGAGAAGAAAAGGATTTCGTTGTGTTATTCGTAGTGATAATTGATAATCACGGTTAAAAAGTACGCATAGCGCCATAAAAATATACGTAACTCCACAAACTAAACATTTTGTTTGATTGTTACAATTTATTTTTGCCGAGTATGCTAGAATACTAAGGAACCAAAAATAACAATATTTAAATAAATTGTTGGCTTAGAACTCGCGGCTGTGGCGTGATAGACCTCTACGCTCTTGCCATTACGCTATTGAGAAGATGATCGCTGGGGCGAGTCACCAATCTTATTGCTTGGGCAAATCAAGTTTGTTGTTCTGAAGGTGACAAAGACGGATAAAACAAATTTTCCCAGGAGTTAGCTGGATCGATTTTTCGCCCCCGTAACTCCTATATATAGTAAATTTCATGTGTCACGCTTTGAAGAACGCGACTAGAACCAGATATATTGTACACTAGCGACCATCCCCGACTTATCTTAGTAATGCAGCGTGGTTTAGAAATTTTAAGATAAAATTTAATAATAAAATTTATCATGAAACCTGGCAACTGTGCCATTTTTGGAAGGACTTAAGAGTTTAGGACAAATTTTCCGACACTATATTCTTCATATATTTCGTATTTATTAGTAATATAAACAAATACTAAGATTAAATAGACAAAATACTCAAAAGTAGAAAGTAGCAAAGTTAACTTCACTTTGTGGCAACTTTACCATCGCGGTTTATAATGAAAATAATAGGATTTGACTTCAAGGTTGAAGGTAAGTTTACCTCATAATATAATACACAACACTCCGAGTAATGATTTGTTCCTTTAATTGTGCTGCAAATAGCAAAATTTACACTTGTGGCCCAGCCCTACCATTTTTAAATTTTTCACACAAACTAGAAATTGTGTGTGAGCGTTGTCATAAATTTTTGATTACGTACTTTATTATTTTATTTAAATCTTTTAACAATAATTTCTTACCACAAATTTATCAAACAAAATACTTTTATAATTATTATAATTATATTTCTCCTCTAAAATCAAAAGTCAAAACGGCTTAATAATAAGCTTTTAAATCAACCTCCTACCTCTAGGCATTATCTACGAGTACATATAGTGGGAGCTCCGCTTGCCGATACGAGGCTGCAACTCTAGAAACTTTCTCCCCGTTGGTTGTTGATTACGAATCCTATTACGGAGTGAATAATGTTCAAGATTAATTTATTTTCAAATAGAGAAATTTAAATTATCTCCAACCCGATATGAATTTTCTAGAATCAAACGAATCCTTCTTTGTTTTATCCACCTAGTTCTAGAACTAGTTCTGCGATGGAATTGAATATATGGTATTGAAATAAAAAGTAGTTGATTAGAATTTAAAAATATTTTTATTTTTAAATTAGTTATTTAGTCTAGAATAATAATTATTAGTTTTTATTACATATCATAAATAACGTATAAACATTGTACTTTTTTATTCATAGATGTGGGGCAAACGAGCATTCGGTGGAGGACCGCCAAGCATCCAGATGGTGTGGATGGTATCGGATGGATTCCCGGGTAGTGCGTTCATGAAATTTTGTGGCCTGGGATTAATCCGAACAATTCCTCAGAGCACTCCCTGTGGTATATGCGAAAGAAAATGCAAAGAGATGCAACATCTCTTCGCAGCGCCAGTGAATCGAGCCGATAGGAAAGCACTCAGTCGTCGACAATTGGAGCCGCTATGCGCTGGATGCGGTCAAGTGAAAGGAGCTGGCACTGGGGAGCCCTAGCCCAGAGACGGGAACAGTAGGTATTCCATGTGCGGCCGAACCTGCGCCTTGTAAAGTTGCAGGCGGTGTGCCGGCATGAAATACTGTCCCGCTCTGCTGAGCACGCCAAGCTTTTTAGAGGCCAATTTGGCCTTTTCTTCGTCACTCGATATGTCGCCGCCGAGGATTACAGGCTGAGGCAACAAGTGGTGTGCCTTGAAACTGAGGAGATACGACAAAGGGTTTCTTTTTAGCGGTTAACGCGCAAACTTGTGTCTTCTGACTCTTCCGAGACCTTGTGCAGCAAAGACTTTAGACACAAGTTTGTCCCGGTACTCGGAGACGTTGTCCCGAGAAATATTGGCACGGCCGGTGTACAGAGCATCACCAGTGCTGTCATCTGAATGTTACCGGTTTGCAACATATCATTGATATGCAGAATAAACAGCGTTGGTGACTATTAATCCACTGCTGAACAATGGGTTTTTCCCATAGATTGCTTCATAGGGTTAATACTTGCCAAAGTTGGCACGCTTGGCGGGTTGGCAAACGCAGTTTTTTATGTTCAGTTATTATTACGAATGCGCCGCCGCCTATCTCCTAGTTCATATCCCTCTGTCGCCTCATACGCCACCCACGGGATGATATTCTAGAGTAGTGAACATAATTACGCCGCCACTTCACGGTAGTAATACTTTGATCTAAAATTAAAGAAAAAATGAGTTAATACGTGTGCCGCATTTTTTTAACTAATCAGGTTTACTTTTTAGCTCCCACGATTTAGATTAAAATAATGTATAAGTACGTGTGGTGAGAACGCAATGTCGAGGGCAAATATATAAAAATATAATAGGCACATAAACAGTTACTTTATATTTATATCGCGTATATTTTTACGGCTTCCTTAGTAACATCAATGTAACAAAAGACATCATTTTTCCATTGAGATGGTCGAGTAACGTCGTAAAATTTTTCGATGCAGACAATTATTATAAAACATCTCTATGTGGTTAACCATGTTTTATATGTATCGAAGACAATAAACTAAAACTAATGTGGGTATGTATTTAGTGCTAGTGGATTATTACTCCTGAAAATCATCAAGTTTTCTTTTTTTGTCAAAGTTTATCTGGTAGAGAATGCTTCAGGGATTAAGTCCGTCCACATAATATTTTGTGTATACCAACGTTAAATAAATATTAAATATATACCTTTTACTTTAACTTTCGTGAATATCAAAACAACTTCTAGACTTATTACTAATTACATATGAAAATTCATCTCCTCTTTTCTTCGCTCGCCGTAAATTTCACAGTACCTAGGTAGCAGGACCAGCAACCGCATATTGTTAATAGCAATTTTAGGTGCTGAAAACTATGCTATGCGCTCGGCTAAGAACGAATACATCGTGAGGAAACCTTTATGTCTTAGGAATAAAATATTTCGAGGACATGTGGAACATGAGAGGAGGCTATGTCCAGTAGGGACATTATAGTCGCTAACTGTATATTATAGTCGCTAACTATAACACTTTCACTGTCCGGTTTTCAGACACAATAGTAAGACAATAGCAATGACCTATAGTAGTACACGGGACAGTGAAAGGGTTAAATAATCCAATAGTAAAATATTATTTACCGTTACAGCCTAATAAAGTCCACTGTGACCATAAGTCTCCCCTATAGATTTTCTCACAGGGGGATATTTTCAACACTTGGCAATCGGGATGATAACCGTACTTTTTTCATTTTGAGTCGTTATTAGGAAGACGATGTTGCCCATCTCCTGGTTTGTTTTCCTTGGTCGCCTCTTACACCACGGGATGGTATGGAGGGAGTAATATAATGGATATGCTTACTTCGCCACTACAAAGAAAATATTATTTATCCAATAGAAACTATAGATATTTTTCCTGAGGATAAATGATATTTTACATCAATAAACTTTTACAATACAATAAAAAACTCTCAAACTATCCTTGAATAGCAATTGGATGTAGCGTGATAATAAATAGGTTTATGGATTGAAATGGCTCGTATTTTCTTTTTAAGTAGGCCAATTCGAGAGCTACTAAATCTTAATTCCATTCCGCCGGCACTGTGCGAATACTTCTGTGCTGCCCTCTGTTAATGGCGAATCCTAGGAAGAAATAAACTATAGATTTTATCAATTAGTTTGCGAACATCAAAATTATGTGACTTAATGCTTATTACCGTGAATATTTTTGAGGTACGCAACCTTCAAAAGGACCTGTTAGGAAATGAAATAAATTTTAAATAGTAGGTTATACCTACTTTTCGAATTAGATTAAGCTACTTTGTAAAATATATTTTATAACTGAAGAATAGATATTCATACCAGGTACACGGTCTGTGACGTTACACAATCGATTGCAATACAACTTGCAATCGGATTTTCCAAAAGCTATCCAAAGTTATCAACGCCATCATTCTTAATATAACATATACTTCCCGTGTTATATATCCGAGCCGTGGCAGCTCAAGAGCCGTGGTAGCGCAGATGGTTAGCACTCGCTATAGATTTTACAGTACGCAACCCAGATTGGTTTCGATACCTGCTAATGAGATTGTTAATTGCAATTTTAAGTGCTGATTTACCACGTGCTCGGCAATTAGGAAAACATCGAGAAGAAACTAGAAGAAGCATGTCTGAGAAATAAGAGAGAGTTATTTCGACGACATGTGAAGTTCGCCAAAACGCATTGGGGCATTGCGGCGGACACTTCCTTACCCTAAAACCCTCTCAGAAATGAGAGGAGGCCTGAGCCCCAGCAGTGGGACATATATATGGTGTAACTTTAATTTGCAATACATATTATTATATATAAGTACATAAACTTAATAACTCATGATGTAGCTATACAATTTTTTTAATGTTTTCAGAGTGTACTGGCCACCTATACCAGCATTTTATGAAGGTAATTTAAAAAAACAATAACTTTTATGGTCATATTCCAATTTTTTTTTTTTGTTTTTCATCTGTGTGTTATTTTAATTTTTGTGTATTTTTTGCTTTGATGACGCTTGTGGTTTTGGACAAATTCCAATTAATTTTTTAATTTTTTGTCAAAAATTAACTACCTTTGCCCGTCGTATCAAATACATAATATAACTTAAAAAGCTTATAATTATAAGCACATTGGTAGAAGAATGGAATCAAATTTTACAAAGTTTAATTGATGATTTAATGAAGCATGCTCAGTTGGATTTTTGACTGCAAAAGGTAACGCTTAAATCTAAGTGAGACAAATACTTGACCTTAAGAACGTTCTTACGATTGATGGCAATTATTATTTTCAACATTCGGAGTTAGTTCTCAGAATACGAATGAATGTAATGTAATCATTAAAAATAAATAATTTAAAAATAAAGATATTATAAGTAAAGGAATATACTAAGTCATATCTTCATCATCATCATCATCATCGTCATCATGTTGTAATTACAAACCATCACAAGTCCACAGTTGAACATAGGGCTCTCAAAGTAACCAACTTAGCGCAACGTATCAGTTAGCTAAAGTAGCAATAGGCCGGCTCGAAGAATAGACCACCTACGATAAAGAAAGGTTTTGGAGTGGCAGCCTCGTAGCGGTAAGCAATATGTAGGTCGGCCCACCATTGAAGTATACCTGAATGGTAACAACCTAGTGAGAGATGCATGAAGCGGATGATGCAGGCGGCTCAGGACTGTACGTTGTGTTGACGTTCCGGGAAGTCTGCAGTTTGTGATCATATCTTAGACGGCCCCAACCATTACATCAGATTTGATAGACCACAAATCCTCACGAAAGAACACCGATTCCTACCAAAGATGATACGTGACGCTACTGAAATTAAAAAAACATCCTAATTTCAATAGAGAAGGAGGCTGGGTACTACCACATGCTTGGGTATATCAATCAAATTAAAACTAAACCCAAGCATACCACTGCAAAACCTCAAGACATAGTCAGTTCATTTTGCATAGATCGGACCATAAACAATAATTAAAAAAGCTGAAGGTACTCTGGGTTTAACAGTGACATCGGGACGTCAGTCACCCTTGACCATGGGTGCTGGAAAGCACCCGAAACGTCGGGAATTAAAAATAAAAATAATTAAAATTAAAATTAAACGCGATAAAATCCGTAAAAGTAGTTTTTAATTAAAAATTAATGAATTCTAATATCTTTTATTGAACTGAGGATAACCCATAGTAATATATAATTGGTAGTTGCAGACCGTTGCAAGACTCGGGCGGGGCGGTTGGATCGGTTGCCGCGGCAGCTCTACACAGACCGCACGTCCCGGTGTCCTCGTTAACCACGCTTACAAGCCGACTG